ACCCTAAACCCTAACCCCTAAACCCTAAACCCTAAACCCTAAACCCTAAACCCTAAACCCTAAACCCTAAACCCTAAACCCTAAACCCTAAACCCTAAACCCTAAACCCTAAACCCTAAACCCTAAACCCTAAACCCTAAACCCTAAACCCTAATGTTTTCATTATTATAACAATTATTAAAACTTTAAAATGTAAGTGTTCAAATAAATTACTAGCACACGCAAAGATGATATTCGTACAAATAAAATGGCTCAGCCTAATTACTAGCAAAGGCCCACCCATTTAAAACACTTTGTCTAAAAGACTCAAAATTTGGAAAAAAAAGAATTCAAATAATATAAATAAGCCCGATGGGTTTTTTCTAACGTAAAGTAAATACATTTTATAAAAAAATACTTATATTTTACAATATACCAACCTGGATATGAGGTTTGCTGATGTTAGACATTGTTGAATAATAATGGGTTTAAGCCCAAACTTAATTACACCTAATCGTTTGCCTTGCCTCCGTCACAAACTGTCTTTACTGCAGTTAAAAAAAATCACAGAAAACGTTAAAATAAAACGAAAAGCAAAAAATGACCATAACCTTGATTTTATTGTTAAACCTAGGAATTATAATGAAAATGGTTACTTTTTTTTGTCACTGAAAAATGCATTAAAATTAAAAGAGAGGAGATAGGCCTAGGGGAGCCCAAAACCAGAGTTTAACAAACAAAAAGATGGGCCTGAAGGGCCTAAAAATGGGTACTTATATAATAAGAAAAGAGGAATAAGATACTAAACCTTTATCATATTGACCAAGTGAGCCCAACATGGGAGCTTTGTGTCCCTGTGTAATATTGACAATTTTGCTTAGTCTGCATCATCTCGTCCTGTTTTATTCCACAGAAATTGAACAAATTAGAAAGAACCGACTGCGTTTGTCCAAAAAAAAAAGAAAAGAAAGAACCGACTGCGATCTAGAATCAAAACCTCCAAACTGTTGTTTTCTAAAAAGCCAAAAACGAAATACATGAGTTTCAACAATGTTTGAACCAAAAAAAAAAAGTGTTTCAACGATGATAGTTTAATTGCAATTTCTACGAATCTTAAATCCTCGACATCTTCAGTGAAATCAACAAAATCAATAGTTATTCCAAAACTCAATAACTCTAATCTACTTACACCACTGCGAATTAGAAAGAAGCGACAGCAATGTAGAAGAAAACCCTAAAATTGTTATTCCAAGAAAACGCAAGAAACGAACATACATGGGTGTGAACGACACGACGATGGTGTTTTAGATTTCAGAACCTGAAACAGAACAGAAAAAAGTCACGATCTTTATTCAATTTGATTCTAGGGGGGGATTACAGAGTATATAGAGAGGTACACGAAAACCCTAAACAAAAAAAAAAGGATTAGGGTTCATCAAAATTGGAGACTGTTCATCGAATCATACCTCTGGCGTTCTGGAAAATTTGTTCTCGTCCGCTCTCTCTCTTAATCTTAGACTTTTAGCTTTTTCTCGAGAGATATACTGATGGTGATTGATGACGATGCACGAAAGAAGTAAGAGAACGAAAGTTGAAACTTTCGATTGAACCATGGGAATTTTCTGTAGAAACGAGCGAGGCTTTTTAGTAATCGGATCACATGTGCTTTTATCATAGAAGACGGTATCTTATCGATTTTTTTGAAAAACAAACAAGTCGGTGATCAACCTTTGTCATCTTGAATCCAGGTGGGCATGTGACTATCATTTTTTACCGTTAGACTTCCTATACACGTGCAGGACTGTACACTTGTCAACCAGTGATTTGCATAGGAATTCAGTCCTTTTACGGTTGGCAATTAACCATAAATCCAGGTGGACATATGCACATTGTTCTTGGATTTTATATCGTTGGGGTAGGAAACATGGTAGGAACATACAAACTGATTGTAGATAAAAAGCTCTCTCCTTTTTCTAGTCGCTTCGGTTTCCTTGATTCCTCCCTAACATGCCCAAGAGTGGCTTCAACTAAACTCTCAAAGAATCTGTGGTTAGTGTTGTGAATGTGTGTCTTAAATCTCAATTTGAGTATTTATGTGTTTATAAATTTGGATCCCCCACAGTATTCTTTTACAACAAAGCGCACCTTATTCTAAAAACAATATCATATTTAATGCTTTTCGTTTTTTTAAAAAAACGTTGTGCCAACATATATGTTACCTGAGACATATAAGGGGACTCGTATGATCTACGGTGAAGGAGGAGGTGCTGCCCACCATTAACGTATATCATACCTACACACTGTGATATCCTATTATCGTATATGAACTTTCTCCTTTTTGGTGAGATTGGCATCTCCTACTACTTCAGCGGCTACTACGTGTAGAAAAATAAGCCAATTGCTTCTGATGAACTACTTAGACTTGTGGTTCAATTGCTCTCATCTTTTTCTCATTTTTGTTTGAAAAGAAAGGAGGGACTAAGCGAACTAAAAGGCTTTGCCACAAAGTGAGTGAATCATCCTTAATTATTGGGGTATCTCTCAGGACGGACAAACTGCATTTAATTTTATCTTTGTCCTAGCAGGTTCGAGCAAGAAGAAGAAGTCTTCCCGATACAAGCCAGAAACTGTTGCTCTCAGAGAGATTCGCCAATTCAAGAAGACCACTAAACTTCTTATCCCACCTGCTAGGTTCATAAGACACGTAAGCTTCTCCTTTTCTCTCTTCTTTTTTTTGTTTTCCAACAACTATTTTTGGTTGCTAACCTTAGCTACGTGTTTCTCAAGAAGCTGATTTGTCTCAATATAAATTGAAGTGAATTTCACTGCAAACATTAGCTACACCCAACCCTTCATCTAAGAAGCTTGTTATATAATTTGTCTTTGGTTATGGCTTCATAGTTAATACAAGTATACAACCATATGGTTGGTTTCTGTAACTACGATTACTATATCCATTTATGTTATTGCAACCAGGTGAGAAGTATTACCCATACTTGTGACCCGCCCTAAATTACTCGTTTTTACTGCTGAAGCTATTTTGTGGCTCTTCAAGAGGTACCAATCATTGTATCTTTTTCATATTAAATGTATTAAACTGTTGTTCCCCTGATGACTACTTAACCTAATCGTGAATTCTTTTTTTGAGCACGCGGCAGAAGATTACCTAGTTGGTTTGTTCTCTGATTCAATACTCTGTGCTTTCCATGCAAGACGTGTCACTCTAATTTAGGAATCACTTGTATGCTTCTTTGTGCCAATATTTGCTTTAAAAATCTTATATAGAATACGATCATCCATATCTGTTTCTGTTTATATATAATGCATTAACTTATATCTACTCTATTAAAACAGAGTCATTCTTTTTATCTATTGATACAAATTGTCATTTAAATTTGGACACTTTCTAGAGTGTTACAAATAATACAAAGCATATAGTTAATTAAACCGCGTTACTTAAATTAAACCGGTGGTTATTTATGGGATATAGTCTTGGGCTTTCTTTTGTTTTTAAAACAAATTATATGGTTTGGTTTTTGGGCTTAGTATTAAAGAAAAACTCCAAAAAACATTGAATAAACTTTCCAACTTACTAGATTAAAAAATCAATTATTATTTTCAGGCCCAAAATTTAATATTTTTAACAAAACAAAATTGTCTATTATTAATCATTTATTTAAATCAAGTACTTTAAAACATGTTAATGTATTTTTTTATTTTAAAAAACAATCATTTTTTTTGATAAATTTCAATGGTAACTTTTAAATAGTTTATTATTTTATTTTTCTTAAATAATTTACAGATTTAAAAAAAAATATGTAAAGCAAAACCAAAAACCAAATCTAAAAACTAAACTCCAAAACCAAAAGCTGAAAATGCAAGTTATATTTTTTGCTTTTGTTTATTTACAAAATAAACTATTGCAAATATTTTTAAAATTTTCTTTTGTCATATTTTCAGTTTTAAATTAGATGTTTGATTATTTGAGATTTGTTTGTTGGTAATATCAGTTCAAACTAACTCAGCGGGTCTAAAAATTAAAAACCCAAACCAAAATCTGAAAATCAAAAATATAAATTTAAAACTAAAAACCAAAATTTAAAAAAAAATCTAAAAAGAAAAACTGAAACTAAAAACTAATGAAAAACAATCATCACCGCAAACTTTGGTGAACTGATTTTATACCAGAACATTATTTAAATTAAGACAAAACCAATTATATAAATTTTTAATCATAAAAAATTTCCGCGCTTTTAAGCGCGGGTCAAAATCTAGTTAATGTATATTAAAACATTTTTTTATGGATGATAGGCCTAATTTTTAATTCTCCAAAAAATTATTTATTTAAACTTCATATACCAATTAATCAATGTACTAACCTCTATCAAATCTATATTTTTGAGGGGGAGAATACCTAATGTCTCAAAAGTTTTTAATCTTCATACTAGGGGTGGGCGTTCGGGTACCCGTTCGGGTTCGGATCGGGTATTTCGGGTTTTTGGGTATTTCGGTATTGGGGTTTAGGACCCGTTCGGGTATTTTTACATATCGGGTCGGGTTCGGATATTTTTAATTCGGGTTCGGTTATTTCGGGTCGGGTTCGGATATATAGATTTTGAAAAAAAATTTCAAATTCTTCATTACTTAAGTTTCATGTATTTAAAAATTTAACTATCAACTTAACCTTTTTTAAATGTTTAATAAGTTGGACGATCAATAAGTTTGAAAATAAAATTTTGAAAATAAAAATCATTATTTTGGTTGTTATTTTCGAATTTTGGATGCAAATTTTGTTAAAATATGAAATAAGAACCTTAATATGCATTTTAAATGAGTAACAAATCAATTTTTTTTCAATTATATGTATATTATCTGATCTTAAACTATATATAACATTAATATAGATATTTTTAATAAAATGAGACAAATAAACTAGGAATAAATAGGTATATATATATATATGTTCGGTTATCTTCGGATACCCGTTTGGGTTCGGGTATTACCCGTTCGGGTTCGGATATCCAAACTCTCCTAACTCAATACCCGTTCGGATATTTTGCTACTTCGGTTCGGATTTCGGTTCGGATATTTCGGGTCGGGTTCGGGTACGAGTTCGGGTATCGGGTAAAGTGCCCACCCCTACTTCATACTATGACTATATGATCCATGTATACATTAAAACAAAAAATATCATATTTTCTAATTTATTTTGAAATATGTAGGTTAACTAACATTTACGAAAAAATTGAATTTTCCTATTAATGTTATATATATTAAAGTTTGGTCTCTTTGGGGTTGTTTAAAATACCTAAGCACACTCTAAATTTATATTAATTTATACTAAACTTATTTTCATGGTATATGGACAAACTTTTCTGATTTTTCAATAATTAATTTATTTAAATTTTATATACCTCCCTAAACAGTGGAATAGCCCCTACAAAAAAATTTATTTTCACGAGAGACGAGAATACATAATGTCTCAAACCTCTTTTATTTTCATAGTATGTTAGTGCATGATGCAGATATGCGTTAAACAAAAATACCATATTTTCTCATTTATATTGAAATATGTGAGTTAATCCTTAAGAAAGATGATGATCTTTTTCTGTGTTCTTGTCGATGTTGATGGAGAGGATTATGTTTCTCCTGCATATGAACTTGAGTTGTGGAGTCTTGTTGTAGAAACCAGTGATCTTTACAACATCTCCAAGCTGGTATCGATACAATCCTGCGTAAAAGTAGAACAAATTGTAAGAAAATTAAAGCCTTAAACAATGACCTAAGCAGTAGGAACTATTCTCTCCCTTTTTTAATAGATGACATTTTGAGATTTTTGTTTTGTTTCAAATTATATTACATTTTCAATTTTCAATATAATTTTTTTTATGTTATATGACTTTATGTTCTCTGAATTAGTTTTCTATTGATTAAATCTTGATTAACTGGATAGTTAATACTCTCTCCATTTTATTTTATATCGTTAAATACACATATTAAGAAAATCATTAAATTGTCTATTATATCTCTAATTAATAAACTATTTTATTTGTTATTATTAACTAATGAGCTGAAAAGTAGAGTTAGAAATAGAAAAACCATCAAAACTTTGCATTGAAAATATAAAACGATACTTATAATAAACAGATTTTAAAGTATCAACGACATTTAAAATGAAACGGAGAGAGTAGTGTTTGTGTTTACAAAATGTATAAAATTTAATATTTTCTCAATTTTTGTGCACAACTCCAAACCATCAAATCAATAAATAAATAAATAACGGAGTAGAAGATAGAAAGTACATGTGTAGTTTGTGATGATAACCTCGTACTCTTGTATGGTTAAGTATGTTGCCCTTGTGTCTCCCCGTGTTGCCATATCGGATATCCAGAAATACTGAAAATATTAAGTAAAGAAGCCAAATTGATTCCTATTGAACATGGAGACTGTTTTCCCAAGCTTGATTGGACTGTATGGAAGATGGCAGAGATCATGTACTTGCCTGAGATGGTCGAGTATGTGAAAACTTTGGACGTGGACAAAGATTTGGAGATTTTGAGAACAAATGGTATAGAATTGGGATTAAATATTGATTTATGATATGATTGTTAAACAGCAAACTGTGAGTCATTGGGATTGTTCTTGGAATTAGATATTGTGTTATTGTGTGAGAAGTATGTTTGAATCTTGATTCAACATTGCTCTTGGTTTGCAGAGGTTGCATTCTTTTTCGGACTATGCATTTGCTGCTGTGAAAATGCCTATAAATTAGCATCAAACCTCATTTTTGTTACTGTAGATTTTTATGCTAAGCTGATTTTCATGACTTGCTGAAAGAAATATGCTATAATGTTCGAGTATACTTGTCAAAAAAGTTACTCAGCTACTTTTTGCTAATTGTGTGAGTTTGACAATTAGTTTCGAGCCGTTTGTAGGCTACTTATGTTGTTTACACTGAGCTTTTCTTCGTTTGCCAATTAAGAACCGCTCATGGAAGATGGCTGTAGGGTGTATCCTGATATTGTCTTATGTCAAGTTAATGAATGCGTCAGGGCAACGAAACCTAAACGTACTATATATCAAGTTAGTTTCGAGCCGTTTGTATTTTTTTTTTGTTTAAAAAAATACTATATATACTATTTACCATATTTCGTGTTGTTTAAAAAATACCTAAACGTACTCCAAATTTTATATATGTTTGCTAAACTTATATTTATTGTACATGTGAATCATTTCAAATTTTCCAACGATTAATTTATTTAACATTCATATAACACTTAATATGTGGATTAACCCCAATAAAAATTCTATTTTCTGGGGAAACGGAAACATTTAAGGTGTTAAACCTATTTAATATTCATACTATGTTGGTGTATGATGCAACTATGCATTAAAACAAAAAATCCATTTTTTAAATTTTTTTTTTTAAATATGTGAGCTAACCCCTATGAAAATGCTGAATTTTCCGTTAAATAATATATATACTATTTACCATCTTTCGTGTTGTTTAAAAAAATACCTAAACGCACTCCAAATTTTTTTATATATTTGCTAAACTTATCTTTATGGTACATGTGAATCATTTTAAATTTTCCAATGATTAATTTATATAATATTCAAATACCACTTAATATGTTGATTAACCCCAATAAAAATCATATTTTCTGGAGAACGAAAATATTTAAGGTCTCAAAACAAAAAATCCCTTTTTCGAATTTTTTTTTGAAATATGTGAGCTAACCCCTATGAATAAGCTGAATTTTCCCATAAATACTATATATACTATTTACCATATTTTGTGTTGTTTAAAAAATATCTA